ATGGATTGTTGACGACACTATACAGAGTCTTGTTAACACCGACCCTTAACAAAATGTAGTTATAAATGATTAAAACTTCTATGATCATGAACCTGATCCTGATGACTCTTTTTTGTTTACTTGCACCAAATGCAACCAGTGACTCTACATACCTCTAAATTTTAGTGTTTGTGAGTGGATGTTTCAAATTAAGAGAGAAGTGTCATTATTTTTCTCTTCCACCCGGAACCTTAGGTGTGGTTGTCTTATTCCAAAAACCACGTTATTTGACCCTGAGATATTTTTGAGGGATTTCTCACATAACCTTATGTGGTCTCTTTGGAATATAAACCTCTGGTTGTAACAATATTAAAATTCACCATGAGAGTGAAAAAGAGTGGAAATGTTGAAGATTGTTTCCCACAGACATTTTCAATTGGTCTTTGAATGACTTATCTATTTTCAAATGAGAGTGTGAATCAAGATCTGATGGCAAGTTCTGATGGCAAGTTCTGAAGAAGGTTCTAATGCCTTTGATTTAATGGTTGCTACTTACAAATACTCTGACGCCAACTCAACGACGATCGTAATTAGAAGTTTTAGGGTTAGAATAATATATGTTTGAAAAGATCTTCGTTAGGCTTGTATAGGGTTCTAGGATTTATTCATTCAAACCTTCTCTTTGAGTCATTTGTCTCAAAAGATAAAGAATTCTCAAATTTTGGTTCGCCTTGATTCAACATCCAGACTTGCGTTGCAATAAATTTTGACCTATAATTATCTAAATTGTTTCCTTATCACACTTTCGTGGAATGGATGGCAATCCAATCCATAACAATATAATAGATGAATTTTAAACATATAATTAATCTCTAAAAAATATTATATTTTGTTTAATATGTAGAATATATATATATATATATATATATATATATATATAGCTATATTACATATATTACAAAGATCAAATCCAATTTTTTTAATAAAAACTAAAATAAAGAAACATGAATAAAAATAAAATTATATATATAATTAAAATCAAAACAAATAAATATTATTTAAATTAAACTATAACAAAATTATTTCCAAAATTCAAATGCATATTTAAGTTTTAGTTTCGTAAATTAAATTATTATAGTACGCAATAGATATTTTGTGGTGCAGTGTGGCTCAATATGGCAAAAGTATATGTTGGTGACCTTACTACTTTTGGTATAACAAACTATTTAACTATAGTTGCCTTCTTTAGGTCAACATAATAATTTGAATGTCTAAACATACATATTTTGGACAGAAAAAATATAGTACTCTTTAAAAAAAAACAGAGTCATACATTTCAACTGGCCCACTAATAATAACATCATCATAAATGAAAGTCAACGAAGTCCAATATGAAAATGAAACGTGACACGTATGTTTTAAAAATAATATCATGTGAAGCAAGTGGAACAACTAGTTCTTTGTTCCGAAACTTTGTACATCTGAATTTGGTTGATATAAATCAATGAATAAAGGTCTGATATGACAACCGGTATATACCAAGTGGTATGGTAGGTTAACATAATCAAAATAAAAGTGTAAAGAAAAAGTACACAATTCAACACGAGTCTTTCAAAGGATAACTGCATGTGTTCATGTCAAAAGAGTATAGATGGGAACAAATTGAGTCTTCTTGGTTTCTTATTTTTGAACTTGTATTTGCTTTGTTGAGATAAAATACACTCCCCTAATTGACTCCCATTAGATTAGGAAAACTCTTTATGGTTGAGTTAAAAAGTTCTACTATAATATGGACTCGAGAATTACTACCTGACTCCGGTCCTAAATGAATTTCAGGCTACCTAATTCTAAATGGGCCTTTTTATTTTAAAAACTTAAAATAAAAATCTCATAATATTTATTATAAATAAAATTAAAAATTATATTATTTTAATATAATATATTATCTTTTATAAATACTATAATGTATTTTTAAATACAATAGATGTCTAAATTGTATAAAATAATACTCAAATATTTAACATAAGAGAAAAATCTAACATAATACGATAAAAGAATATTGATTATATTAATATATATAATATTTTAAATAATTCCGTATAAAGATAAAATTTAGTGAGGATGAAAAATCAATGTATTACTTTTGAATAATTCTGTATAAATATTAATATAATTTTTTTAAAATTAATAGCTATGCAAACCTAATGAGTACCTATGTCTCATATGAATTAGTCCTAATAGATAACTGAACTAAAAAAACTCTGAAAATTATAAACTTTAATTTTTAAACTAAAGCTCTATAACTTTCTAGGTCTGACAGACCGACTCATATAAATTAACTTATTTTGAGAACACATTACCACTTCTAAATAACTTGATAATATGCATGTTAGTTCACAAGGACGGCCTCATAGAGAAATTTAACATTGCTATGGAGTTTTATCCGAATATTAAAGTAGATTTTTTTTTATAAATGATTTTTATTTAATTTTATATTAGATTGAAGCTTATACAAATACAAAATTATTATTTGTTTTGGGTTGGTCAATGCTCCATAAAAATTGATCTAATTGAAAGACTCAATCTAGTAAAGGTGCAAGAACCACTATAGTATTGGTAGAAGCGCATATATGGATATCCAACAGAGAACATAACTTTCCTTTCATCGAGAGTGTTGATCTACGTTCAACGACTATATGCCACCATACTAAGACAAATCGAAAATGATTATAACTATTCCTTTTATATAAGTGTGTCTATGTGTCATACATAAAGTATGTTTTCACCAACACTTTAAAAACTCCACCTCGTTTACAAATTGTGTTGAGCTTCATAATGTTAACATTTTTTGCAAGTAACCTCTCCGCTTATCGAAATATAGTCACGATAGTATCATAAACTCTTCTATGATTGTCATCATTAATATCTCATGAATTCTTTATTCTAGTCCACATCATCATCATCATCATTATTATTATTATTATTATTATTATTATTTCATGATTTAGTTTATATATATAATTATAAATTATATTTAATATTTTAAAATATTTTAAAGTTATTAATTCAATACTTTACTTTTTATTAAAAATAGAATATTAGTCTCCCTTTGTTCTTTATTTTTTATTTAAATTTTTTATAGATTTAGTTATTAACATGGTACTAAAATCAAATAAAGGTTCAAATATAAAAATTAGACGTGAATATTAAATTATATTAACTTTTTATATTATTTACTATTATAATTTTCTCTTAATTTATATTAAATCAGTGTTTCTTTATAAATATATTACTTTGTTTTTTTCTGAAAATTAATTATAAAATTTTAATCAAACATGAAAATGAACATAAACTATATTCAAAACAAACAAAAATTGAAATCAACATGTACTACTAATATAAAAAACATTATAAAACTATAATATTATGAGTCGATTATTTTCAAATTATCCAAACAACCTAGTAGCTTTGAAGAGTTTATGGGAATTACCTACAAGCACTTAAAAGTTAGTAAGTGATTGAGAAGAGTGGAGTGGCAATTGGGATGTCATCGGATCGGTTAAAATCTTTTTTTAAGTAAAAAAATTATTTGAATCCATGATATTTTTATCTATTTAGTTTATTTTGATTATTTTAATATTTTTTAAAATGAAATCGAATCAAAATTATTGATTTGATTCGATTAATCGATTCACAATATATATTTTTAAATATTATATTTATTAATGTATTTTTTACTATAATATTTTTTAGTATATTTTATATAATTATTTTTTAAAATAATTATTTCATGTAATTTATTTATTTCATATTCAATTTTTTTAAACAGTGATAAGATTTCTATTGTATTATGAAATAAATTTATTATCAAATATAAAAGTTAATATTTAGTATAAGAATGTTGAAAATAGATTTGAAAGTTTAAAAAATTGAAAACAACAAAACATACATCAATTAATATGTTTCAAATCTCAAACACATATAATACTATTTTGTGATAAAACTAAAAGAAATTCTATTGAAGAATAAGAAATAAAAAAGATAAAAAAAATATTAAAAATTTACAAGAATTTGAATACGAAAAAGACGATCATAACATATCAACATTAATCAGAGGAACAATTGTGACGGATAATTAGAATTGTAATTCAGTTAAAACAAGTTTTTTGTGACTTATGATTTCTATTTTCTATATTTTAAAGTTTGGTTTTAGATGTGTATTTTGTTAAAAGAAATGAAGTGTAAACAAATACAGATAATGGTCTAACTGATACAATGATAGATGAAATAAAAGATTTAGAGTATAATTATTTTCATTAAATTGATTTATTAATTTGACAGTTCTTAAAAACTAAAATTGAAAATCAAATCAAATCATATCGATTTTTATTAATTCGATTTGATTTTAAACCGAACCACAAACAATCAATTTTATTTTAATTTAATTTAGTTTAAATTATTAGTTTAATTCAATTTTTCTGATTCTTTTACGCTAAGTGAAAATTACCTATGTATATATAAGTAGTAACTGTGAAGTTTTCTCACAGAATCTTCAAAAAAATTGAATTTTATCAATTTTCCATAGAGTAGATAATTTTTTTTACTCTTCTCTTCAAAGATAAACGATCCAATTCCAAGAAATCAACCTTCATTTTAAGTGGGTTTGAATTGGGTTTTGACAATCCAACAAAAAAGTGTTACCTACTTCATTAACAAACAACAAACATTTCCAGAATCACAATTTATTTTTCTTTATTGATCTGTGCTAGTGAATTGTAAGTTGAAACAGATATTATCAAGAGACAAGAAAAAAACATTAATTGTCAAGTTGAAACAAGATCAACAACAACAAAATTACAAAAACAACTGAATTAAAACTAAATGCATAAAAACAACACTTATGTCACAAAAGACCCCACATTCAGAAGAACTCAACACACATGGAACCATGCCATTGCAACACAACACAACACAACAACATCATCAGTAGTTACGTTATGAACACCAAAACACGACACGTATCACAACTGCCTCGTCGCATAAGCCATAAACTCCGCATCAGTCTCAAGCCCCGCCATAGTTTCTGGCGCCAAAACCACCTCCAAATCCACCGTCCCACTTCCATCTCTCCCCGGAAACGCCGAAATCTTCCCGTCGAATTTATTCGCCTTCCCACTCCTAACCGCCAACGGCTTCCCCCAACCAAAATCATTATCATACATCGGAAACCTCGGAGAACTGCCCATGGTTATAGAACTACCATCAGGGTTCCCCAAAGGAAAACACCTAGGATTATTCTCCCAATCCTCTATGTACTTCCTCACCATAACACTATCATGCGCCTTCACGTTTTTGTTCAGCTGCTCCGCACACCACCGTAAATCTTTACTCAAAACATCACCCGCTGAAGCGTATGTTGGAACGCTCTGAATCGCGTTTCCGAAATAAAACGCTTCTAGCTTTGGTTCTATTCTATGACGACAATTAACCGCCATTCTAAACGTCGTCGTTTTTGTAGCTGGAAATTTCCTCGCGCGCGTGACCGCACGCCATAGCAACGCGCATACGGATTGGAACGACGAAATCTCAACCGTTTCGGTTTCCGTTTCTGTTACTGTTTGCTGTTTTGGATTAACAATAGTTTTGAACCAGTTTTCAATTAACGTCGCTACTTTTCCATTTTCTTTTTCTTTCTGGTTGTTATTGTTATAACTATCGTTTATTTGTTTCTGCATCAATTCAACGGAAGTGTTAGTTTCCGGCCACCGTTTGTTATTAGCTCTGGCTTTCAGTTTCTGAATTGCTTCACGGCTGAAGCTAAAGAGTCTTTCTCGAATCGGCGCGTCGGCATTGAAGGTAACTGCAGGACCTTCTTCGGATAATCGAAGAACGGCGTCGGAGATTAAAACAGAGTCGCGGCGGAAGCTTGGGGGGTTTCGGAGGCATTTGTTTGCTCCTCTACAGACTTGAGCAAACGTGTTGAAGAAATTCCAGAAGGAAGTTCCGTCAGTGACAGCGTGATTAACGGAACAGCCTATAAAAAAGCCATCAGCGAGTTCAGTCACCTGAACGGCCATGATCGGAGAGAAATGACCGGTGAAACTGACTTTTCGATCGAAAGTGAAAAACTCTTTGAAGGAGTCATGTACGTCTGTGGTTGAGAGGAGATCACTGATGGAGAGATCAATTGCAATGGCGTGAATGAAATCGACACCGGCGTCGTTGCAGGTTAAGTAGACGTAACCGTCGGGGTCGGTGGTGAAACGACCGGCGAGAGGTGGGAAGATAGAGAGAGTTTGAGAGAGAGCGGTTTTGAGGAGAGGGATTAAGTTATGAAAGGGAATGGAAGGTTTGGTGAAGAGACAACCTTTTTGGATGTAGTGACAAGAAAGCATAGGTAGGTCTGAAACAGAGAGTTTAAGGTTGGCAATAGTTGATTTTTGGTCTGGGAAAATGGTACATTTTGAGAGCAATGTAGGGGAAGAAGAAGGCATTGTTTGGTTCTTTTTAGTTTAAAAGATGTTTTTTGTTTTTTGTGCCTCTCTTTTGTATCCCCTTTTCTTGGTGTTAGAGTGAGGTGGAATGAGAGAAGAATGGGGGAGTGTTGGGTATATATAGGAGTGGACGGTGTTGAGATACAATGCATCTTGTGCTTAATTAAACTCTTTAATTATAAAAAACAAAAAGAATTGCTTAAAATATATATATATATATATATATATATATATATATATATATATATATATATATATATATATATATATATATATATATATATATATATATATATATATATATATATATATAAGTTCATAATTAATATTTTAAAATATAAAGTCAAAATTAGTTATTAGATTTAAAGATCTATGAATCCAATGCATCAATGAGGATTAGTACAAGTGTTTATTGAATCGAGTAGATTTAAATCAAATCGAAATACAAATCAAATTTTAATATTTGAATAGGATATATTTTTCATATACACAAAAATTAAATCAAATCAAATGTTAATTGGATCGAGTAACATATTTTTAAATTTTATTTGAGTCTGTCAACTCGAATTGATCATAGGTAATTCACATAATTTATATCATCAATATTATGGAAACTATTTTGGATTGACACAATGACTAGAATTGCTTCAATTCTCTCCAGCTCCTTGACACCTATCAGACTTGATTCATACACCATCTCCATGTCCTTGTCGGTGATCGGTCTCCCTCCTCTGCCTGCACGCTGTACACAAGGGATCCCAGCGATTAAACGATCGAAGCTAGCCTGGTCCTCGGAACCCAACTGGTTCTTCTTCAAGACATAAGAGCCAGCTCCCCTCTCGAAGTGCCTCCTAGTCCACTAGAAAGGGAACTTGGACACCAACTTGTTCACCTGCTCCCTCGTCTCATTCCGAACATGGGTTCTATCCTCGTCGTACGCGAGGACAACCCTGGAAATGTTCAACAACACCCTTTGGGAAACAGATTGAACGAGCATATACTTGTCCTTGAAGAAACGAACGAATTTCAAATAAGCCTTGAATAATTTCCCGTTCGTCTGCTTCAAAGAAACCCATCTGAACTGATGGTCGAACGTGTTCCTCTAAAGATGAAAGTAGTACAAGAATAGAGGAACGGTGACCCGGACCTACATATAATCGCACACGGTCTCGAATTCCCGTAGAAAGGTGGACGAGTTTAGATGCAATTGGGAGGGAGCGAGTCGAAGATGCCTAAAGACCGCCACTTAGAAATATGAAAAGGGGAGTCGGAGGCCCATCTCCCTGAACAGGATATTGTACATAGGAATTTGCCGTGCATCATATTTCGAACATATCCGACTTTCCTTCCCAGGGATCCACACTGACCACTCCTCCTCAGCTCCTTCACGATCCATCGCCAGATCCACCATTGTAAAAACATCCTCTGGATGACTGTAGAAATATGAGGGGTGCTCCCGCAGGCCCGGCGTAACTCAGTCTAACAGATATTCCTTGACTGCGGCCATACTTGGGCCACTTTGGTCACCAAGAACCATTTCGTCATCCTCCCCGACGACTTGTTCATCGGGCGGCCCTGGCTCCAACCCCTCTGATGCGGACTCCGATACTCCTGAGGTACTCGCCTCACTAGAAGTGCCCTCGGTGGAACTCCCGGCGAACCCATTGGGCTCAATCAGAAACTCGTCTTCGACATTTTCGGCCATAATACCTGAAAAGCAGAGGATAGAAGTGAGTTCGACATCGAAGTCAAATCCTCTCTTCCACCGCTAATCAAGTGAAATGGCGCCACGGAACAAGGATTATGTCCCCGACCAGAACCCTCACTTAGGCAACAAATGGAAGATCATCACCTCCCCCGACCTAACAAACTGGAATCACCCCCAAATACTGACAAAGAGGCAACAAAAACACCCTTTCCCGAGAGTCATCCGCGACTCGTCAAAGGTCGTCCTGATTCCAAGTTCCCCATGGAGAACGCACGATGTCACCGACAATCTCACCCGGTAAAACCATCGTCTACCACCAACACTCCACTTGAATATCTAAGCAAAAAGATAACCCAAACCCTAACTGCATGCATTTCTAGAAGGAAAACCAGGACAACTAAGCTATAATGGGAGTCAAATCTACGAAGACAGAGGGAATCAAAGAACTTATCGAATAAAAATGGTGGAATAGACGGCGCCTGGCGGAGGTTCAAGCAATAACTTTAAAGACTGATGAAGTCGGGCAGCGAAACGATGAATTCAAATAGAAATGGGAGGAACGAGCAGAAGAAATGCAAGCGAAAAGTGAAACTGAAGCTCTTTCCCCCCCTTTTATAGACTGAGCTCATCAGCGTCTGGACGAGCACGCGCCTAGGAAATTTTAAAGGCTGACATCATTGCGTCTTAGCCCATAGGCTAGCCATTATCACCCTTTTTTTCCTGATAACACATATTTCAAGACACGTGTAACACGCCAACTCTTCAGCTTTCGAAACCAAATCATTTATCTCCCCTTGGGTCAATGTGCGCACAACACGATAACTGCTCGGAAAGAACACTCGACCGTTCCCTTCCCCGCGAGGCGAATACAAAGAACCTCCCTCATGCTCCCCAAATGAGGTCGACCCAAAAGCACCCTCGTTTCGCGGGCTAGTTCTAAGTCATCACTCATATGTCCAGGAGAAACGACTTGGGGGCTCCTGTTCCGGACTGGCTCAATAACTTGAATTGGCTCAATCTGTTCCTGCCCTTGGCACTACCCAATGATAACAGCTCAGCACTTTGGTCGACACGGCGCTGTCATCTGACCAGTTATGCTTGACATACACGCCTGACCAAATCAACGAATGTCTTCCGTTAATCCGACACGAGTCGGGCATAGACCCAGAAAACGACCAAAATGGTAATATGCATGTAATCCTCCTCCTCGAAACAAACAACTACTTACGAGCATACCTGCCTGTTTTGACCCAGTCATGGCAGTTACCTATTTTTGCGAACCCGCATATCTAGGCCCAAAAATAAAAACCAATGGCTATGTGCCGGAGGAACATTATATAAACCCTCACATATGTGAGAGTCGGGTATTCACAATCTCACACCTTAAACTCTGATATTCTGTTTGTATTTTTTTGCTCTCACACTTACTTGTTCGTCGGAGTGCCTTACAGATACAATCTATTTTTCTCCTTAAATTTCCAGCCAATCAAAGACCATCCTTTGGCCCACTTACAGATTCTGATCAACTGATAAGACCAAAAACTATACTACAAAATTTTTTAATTTGAGAATAAATAAAATGAATGTTAGATATGTCGGTCGTAATCTATATGGAAAAATAAAAAATGAATATTAATATGGAAAATTAATTAATTTAAAGTAGTTGATTTTTAAAATATTTATGTATATTTCTTTTTAATACATTCAATAAATCTAACACAAATTAACTCTTTTTTTTAAATTTGTTTTAATTTAGACTTTATCGTAAAAATATGTAAATTCAATCCAAATTAATTTATAAATTTTTAATCAATTTAAATATTGAATCTCTTAAAATCAAATAAAATAAAATCGGTCTAAGAGTTCTCCTAATGAATTGAATTTACAACATCACATTTTTAAATATTTAATATCTAGAAACAACATATGCATATTTGTTTATATAGTAATTTGAAGAAAAAAATATAAAAATAATAAAACAAGAAAAATTTATATAATAATCTGAAATAAAATAAAAAATCATAAAATATTGAATGACTGTTGAAAATTTAGATATCACAATATTATAGAAAATAAAATAATAAATTACTTTATAAAAAAGTTGTGGATAATATGAATTATAAACTCAAAACAAAAACTATGCATTGAATGGAGATTTGCACTCACAATCAAGAAAATGAACGATTAATGTTGTAGGAGTTAAGAAATAGATAAAACTTATGTAGTATAATTTTTCAGGTGTAATTTTTATTATTTTTTAATGAAAATATGATAGGTATATATATTATATTTTTTATTTTTTTATTTTTTAAATTATGTTTAAATATATTTATTATAATTTTATTGGCAAACATTACCTCTGGTTATAATTATAAGACTTTTTGAGTTTTCTTATTATTTTATAAGGTCTTCTTTAATTTTTAAAGTGGATTAGTTTTTTTTCCAAATATATCTTTAATTATATTATATTTTTTTAATAAATATATTTGAATAGATATTAATTGTTTCTCTATTATAAAAATATATTTGTAAAACTGTATAAATAATTAATAAATTTAATATTTTAACCAATTTTCTTAATTAATGTAATTTAATCTACAAAATTTTATATTTAAGAACAAAGTTAATAGTAAAAATTATTACTAAAGAATTGTATTTAAGTTTTTTTTTTTTTTAAATTAAAAATTTATAAATATCATGTTTCAATCAACGAATAGTTGAATTATTTGGAGGTTGTTTTGTTTACTAGTGATTCTTTTTTGTTTTTACAGAAGAGACAAAGTAGTAGTTGATAAATTTATGTTTTCAGTTTTATTCAGAATTTCATATACAGAGAAAGGTTAGGTTTAAATAATAGGGTTAGTAAAAAAATAATCACATGTTAAATATGAGTATAATCTCTTTCAACCTATCTCTTACTAACCATTACTAATTATTAAGCCAAATGTACCAGCTTATCTTAAAGGTTTACGTATTTAAGGTTTACGTATTTTTAATTATAGTCAAAATTGATCTTGACTTTTAAGAAAAGTTTGGAACTAATAATAAAAATAGATCTTAATAAAAAACTAATAATTAATAGAATAAAATTAAACAATAATAGATCAAACCATTTATAAAAATGTCATATGTTTTATCACAAAAACTTAATAATAAATAAAATGAACATATAATAAATATTTAAATATCAAACTATAAAATATTAATATATTTAAAATTTATATTTAAAAAAGAAAATAAAATTAAAAGAGTTATTAAGGAATATAATAATTAAACTTAAAATATAGGGAGA